TTACTCACGAAAGCTTATGCCCAAATAAATCTGTTAGTCTTTAAGGTGCCACCAGACTCCTTGTTGTTTTTGTGAGGGGGGGAGTGTCTCAGAGCTCGGGCTTCAGCCCAAGCCCAAACATATGCACTGCTATTTTTAGCTCCACAGTCGGAGCCCCAAGTCAGCTGACCTGAGCTCTGAGACTTGGTACCAGTTTTTTTATCGCAGTGTAGATATACCGAGTGCCCCCAATTCCCACAGTAGTCAGAAGAGTTCAGGGTGTTCAGTGTCTGAAAATATCAGGCCATGAGTTACTAAACCCACTGTGTGTATACGTGACTCTCATAATGTCCATAATAAGGAACAAAGGTTAAAGGAGGTTAAAGACTTATAGCATACAGCATCGTGATACAGCATACCAAAACCAAAGCAAATCATGCATTTCAATGAGAGGAAATATGATTAAGCTAGTGGTGAACTGGAATGCTTTAGCCACCCTATGAAAAAGGACAACAATTACCTGTCTTTTTCCTCTAGGGCATTTTTATTTAATTCAGTCAGACCTTTCCTGTTAATATTGTCCTTTGTAGCTCCTCGTGGGATTTTTCTTACCATGCTGCTTTCTCCAGAGAGCATAATTTACCAGAAAGGAAGTGCAGACTTAAAAGTGGGGAGTGGGGGGGGGAGGGGAGGAAGACTACCTACAACCATTTCTTTTCTGTATTTCAGTTTTTTGTTCTTATACACACCAGGGAATCTGTTCAGGCAAAACTCAAACTGAGGTCAATGGGAGTTTTGCCTGACGCTTCTATTCACTTCAGCAAAGCACTTAAGTATGTGCTTAACTTTACACATGTGCTTACATTCAACTCTAGGCCCTGATTCTTTAAACATTTATGCACAGGCTTAACTTTACTACCATGAGTAGTCCCATTAAATTGAACTCCTAGCAATGGCATAAAATTAAGCATGTGTGTAAGTGTCTCCAGGATCAGGATTCTGTTCAGTGCCTGAATGAGATTTGCAGGGTTAAGTCCCAGGTATACTTTTTTTTTTCCTGTGAGGAATGTCTCCCTCTATCTCTTTCTTTCTTTTTTGTAGTATTCACTTTCCAATAAACAGAACAGTTCTTACAGAAGGAGAAAAAGAAAGAGAGGGATTGTATACCAGATTGCCAAGAATATAGTCAATGGTAAATTCAATACTCAACTTCGGGTTTGTTTTTGTATAATCTCCTTAAATTCAGATATTTATTGAAAGTTATAGTGGTGACTGGGGACTACTTGGCAGAACCCAGAGGGTAAGTTAAGTAAGTTACACTCTCATGCATCTTGAAAGGTGAACTGCAAATCATAGATAGATAGACAGAC